AAATGGTTTGGTATGTAATAGGAATACATTCTTCTCTCTACCAATGCAAGCCCAAGATATCATTGTTAATATTTTTATGGGGGAAGTGGCCCAGGAAAGCCCTGAGGCCTCCGGCCCCCAGAAGTCGGCTTGCACCCCAAATGGCTGAGGGGATGGGACCAGACACAGGGACAGGCCTTCCTGTCCTTTTCTCGGGTGCTCAGGGGAAGAGGAGTCGGTCTGTGAGACCCCAAGCTCATGGGCCCCCGAGGCCTCTTCCCGAGCCGGCGTGGGAACACAGGCCCCCGCTTTCCCGGCAGCCCTGTGACTGGCCTTCTGGGTGCCGGCCGGCCGGGCTGGCCCCGGGGATGTGGTTCGGGGCTGCTGTGGCCTAGACCTCGGCCTCCCCACAGCCCCCCTCTCTCTTCACCTGCCTCGTCTTTGTCCCCAGCTCCTCTGTGCTGATGTGACAGCCTCGTCTCCAAAGAGATTCTTGGAAGAAACGAGCAGATGGTCCTGTGACTGCGGACGGGCGGGGAGGCGGGGAGGGCCCTGGAGCCGGGGGCGGAGGAGGGGGGCGTGTGTTCTGGTTTGAAACCAGGATCAGCCCTTCCAGGAGGTCCCAGCACTTTGAATGCTGGATGTTGTGTGGCAGGGACCACACGAGTGTATCCATCACCTTCATCGCCGTCACCAGCTCCGATGAGGCCAGCTCCCAGGGGAAGGGACCTTGTCGCGTCATTAATAACCGGTGACTGACGAAGGCGTGATGGGTGAAATTAAAATGCAGTCAGGTTATGAGACAAGAGAGTAAATGCTGTTCTCCCAGGCCAGCGGGGGTGGCAGGCCTGCCCACACCCCCCTATTAAAGCTACGCTCTCCCTGAACAGACGCGCTGGGAAAGTGCCGTTCGCCACAGGCCGCTGACGCCCCGCTCTGGCTTCTGCTGCTGCCTGGGGTGTATGGGCCTTGCCCAGCTCAGCGCTCGCTCTCCGCTTTTAAACACGGGGTTCCGTGCCTCTGAGAGGCGCCTGACGGAGGGAGGGGCTGGCTGTCCCCTGTCTCAGCCCAGGACGGGGCCCCGGCATTTCCTATGGTGGAACCTGGGGAGGGAGTCAGTGGGGTGATCTGGGGAGCTTCCCACCCCTCTCCGAGTCCGGCTAGCTCAGAGCGCATGGGCACGGGGCCGTGTACAGGGCACCTGCTGGTGGAGTCGGGTAGCCCCGGTGGGGACCCAGGCCTGCCAGTTCCCAGCTGTGTCGCCTCCAGCAGGCTGGGCCTCAGTGTCCTCATCCGGAGGATGGGCGCGTGCCTGTGTCAGTGTCCTGGGGCCGCCCTGATGGATTCTCCCAAGCAGAGCGGTTGGAGCAGAGACGCTGATCACCTCCAGTTCTGCAGCCACGAGTCCAAGTTCACGGTGGCAGCCTGGTTCCTTGGAGGCCGAGCGGGCGAGGCTGTCCCAGGCAGGCCCGTCTCCCAGCTCTGGCGGCTTCAGCGGCTTGTGGCCGGCCGTCTTCTCCCTGGTCTGCACGCTGCCCTCCCTCTGTGTCCTCACTTCCCGTTTGTAAGGACACCGGTCATTGGATTATGGAATGAACTCGCTTTGATTTCCCTGGCTTTCAACGAGGCCCCAGGCCCCCGGGGTCAGGACTGCCTCACCTTTTTGGGGCACATGAGACGGCCATGACAGGGATGACCCAGGTGTCACCAGCGGCGGCAGATGTGCGGATGGGGTCCCGCTAGGCGCCGGGCGCGTCCAGGAGTCAGCCAGTGTGCACGGTGGCCTCGAGGCCGTATCAGTCAGTCATTCTCACGGAGCCTGTTGGCTGCCCGAGGGCTCTCAGAGGACGGGGGACCGACGGCCACGCCGCCATCTGGGTGGGACCTGGGGAGCAAACTGGAGAGCTGGGCTCCTGCGCGGGCGGCGGGGAGGGTGCTGCCCGAGGAAAGCCCGTCCGTGCGCATGTCCAGTGCTGGCCCGGGGAGTGGGGCGGCCGGCGCTGGGGTCTGTTGAGGGGTGGCAGCTCGGGGCCTGCCCATCGGGCTCCTGTGGAGGCTGCAGCTCAGGGAGGGAGTTTGCTCCCAGCGGGAAGCACGCTTCTCCTGAAGGGGGGCTGCCAGCCGGAGAGGGGTGGCCCTGTGGGCACCGAGGGATGCCATCTGGGGCCGAGTGGCTCAGAGCCTGTGGCACCCAGGGCGGCTGTGCCTGTGTCCCCGCAGCCATTGGCTGAGCTATGAGGGGGAAGGGGCAGTCATTTGTCAAACCCTTCTCAGTGCCAGGCAGGTGCCAGGCGCTCCACACATGCTATCACACGTCATCCTCCCGGCCGCTCGGAGATGGGAGCCCCCTCCTCCAGGGCTGCAGAGGAAGAGGCGATGCCAGAGCGAGGAGGGTGCCCAGTGCCAAGTCCCGGTTCTGTGGCGTCCCTCCTTCCCCGCATGGAGGGAGATCAGGAGACTGAGGCGCCTGGAGCTTGAAGGTCTGACCCCAAACCCAGCGCAGAGCAGCCCCTCCGGCCACCACTGTGGAGTCGGGGGCACTGGCCAGGGCTCCCCAGCACTGACCCCAGTTGGGCAGCTCCTGGTCTCTGCCTGGGGCGAGCAGGCCCCCCGGTCTCAGGCCTTGGGAGCCCAAAGGCTCATCAGCTCAGGGGGTGAAGGCGGTGCCACTCTGCCCTCCTGCGTGAAGAGTGGGCGCGTCCTCTCCCCGGAAGAGGGGACTGTGAGGGAGCCCAGTGCAGTCGCCGCTGCCTGGCTTCATGGCCTTCCTCTCAGGGATGCAGCTCGGGAATAAACCAGGCCAGTCCGTGCCCGGAAGGGCTCCTTATCGTTGGTGAAGCGGCTCTGTGAGCTGTGTGAGGGAGGGGCGGAGGGGACACTGAACCCAGGGGTGGGGTCGTGGAGGCTTCCTGGAGGCAGCGTCAGTTAGCCTGAGGTCTGAGAGTTGAGTAGGAAGTAGCGTGGGGTGGGGAGAGGGGTCCCCGGTGAGGAGCAGCTCTGCGAGGCCTGGAATGGCTGGAGCTTAGAAGGGAGGGGGCCGCGAGGAGACTGCCACGCAGCGCGGGTGGGAGGGGGAACGGTCCGCTCCGTGACCGGCCGGTGGCAGGATTAGGCCATTTGGGCAGAAGTGGGAGCCGAGTTAGGGGAGGAGCTCCCAGGCCCAGGTGTGCCAGCGGGGGGGCCTGACAAGGACATGGGGGTGAGGGTTTCAGTCCTGATGGGCCTGTGGTCCCTTCCAGCTGTCCCTGTGGCCCCTGGGAACCCCCGGGAGCAGCAGGGCCACCAAGTGGGAATCAGTCGGTTAAAGAGGCCCTTGTCTCCCGCGTCGGCCCCGTCCTCGGCCTCCGTCTTCAGAGCACGCGGCTTCACGGGCCCCGCGGGCTGCGGGGTGGGCGGAGGGACCGCTCTGTTCCCGGCAGGAGGCCCGCGGGCACTGCCCATGCCGAGCGAGGTTTTAATCATCGCTGCCTCTGAGATGCTCGCCGCCCCTCGGTGCCCTCCCTCCTCACATCTCCCCGCTCTGATCACCAGGAGAGAGAGCGGAGACTTGTCTGCTGCCGGGAGGAGCCCCGCGGCGGTGGCGGTGTGGTGACCCCGCATTAGCCGGTCCCCTGCGCTGGGGACCAGGGGTGCTCCCACCTACCCCCCGGGTTCCCATGGCAACGGGAGTGTTGGGAGGGGCTGGTGGGGGCAGTGAGTGAAGGGAGATCTGATGGGCAGGGAAATGCAGCGGCTGGGAGGTGCCCGGGAGCGGCTGCCCCCCCAGGCGAATCCTCATGTCCTTGCTGCTCGTGCGTTTGTTTTGAAGAACTCGGGGTGCTCTCAAACACGCGTTTTCATTCTTATAAACAGATGCACTTTTTGCACAGGCCTGCCGCGACAGCGGCTGTTAGGTAGGGCCCAGGGTGGGGGGGTGGCTTTAACAACAATGAAGAGTGTATGTGCGTGCGTGCACGTGCATGTGCGCGCGCACTCTGTGTGTGTGCTGTGCGTGCATGTGTATGTGCATGTATGCAGGTGTATGTGTGTGCTGTGTGTGTATGTGTATGTGTGTGCTCTTTGTGCGCGCCTGCTTGTATGTATATGTGTGTGTTGCGTGTGTGTGCATGTGTGAATGTATATGTGTGTGTGCTGTGTGTATGCGTGTGTGAATGTATATGTGTGTGTGCTGTGTGGGTGCGTGCGTGAATGTATCTGTGTGTGTTGCGTGTGTGAATGTATCTGTGTGTGTTGCGTGTGCGTGCGTGTGTGAATGTATCTGTGTGTGTGCTGTGTGGGTGCGTGCGTGAATGTATATGTGTGTGCTGTGTGGGTGCATGCGTGAATGTATACATGTGTGTGCTATGTGTGTGCATGTGTGAATGTCTCTGTGTGTGTGCTGTGTGGGTGTGCGCACGCACTCACGCGCTGTGGGGACCTTGGGCCTGGCTCCGGCCAGCTGGCTGTCTGGCTGTCTGGCTGTCTGGCTTGCCCTGGAAGGCCCGCTGTCCTGGGTCCTGACAGCCCCCTGCTGGGCTTGGGGGCAGCCCCTGCAGCAGCAGCCGGCTGTGTCGGGGTTCTGCAAGGTGCCGGGGGACAGGGCCCCAGCTTCTGGAGCCTGGCCAGGCGTCCTGTCCTCACCCTGGGACCAGCGCCTTGGCGGGCCCTTTGACCTCAGCTGGAGAGGGTCCAGGGCTGGGTGTGAATTATTCCCGGGCGACCTCGGAGGACTGGGATGTCATCCTGAGGGCAGGAGCGGGGGTCAGGGCCTCACATGCGCCTGTCTGTGCCCGGTGTGCAGGGGCCGGGCCTGGGGATGCCGGCTGGGGGGCGGGGCGCCGATCCCCAAGACCCCAGTCACGGGCGGGGGGGGTCCCCTTCCCTAGGGACCGGCGCTCACTGATCTCCGCCTCTTCCTGTTGCCGCCGCAGGTGATCCTGATCCTGACCAAGTACTACCACGCGGACGCAGAGAAGGTGCTGGAAAGTTCTCTGTGGCGGTAAGTCAGCCCGAGGGGCCCTCTCCCCTGGGCGTCTCCGAGGGGTGCAGCCCTGCGTGTGGGCGGCCGGCGGCCTTTCGTCTGCTTGAAAAGGCAAACGGGGGGAGCTGGAAGCGAAGGAGGAGCGTGGCCAGTGGGCGCACGGCTGGCGGGACGGACGTGGTTCGGAACTGCGCCGTCTTCTCGGTTCTGCCTGCTCCTCCCGCCTCGCCCTCCTCGGAGGCAGGGTTCGCGGTGGAAAGCCAGGGCACCTACTGTTCCGGGCTCAGAGCTCCATCCGCAGCTCCTGGGGCCCAGCGGCCCGCGATGGCCCCATTGTCAGGCTCAGCGACAGGCTTGGCAAATGGAGACCCGGCGCAGGGAGATCTCTTTATGGCCGAGCGTTAGGGCCTTCGAGGCTTCCAGTGAGGCGGCCCGAGGGGGAAGCCCGGGAGGTTACCACCCTCAGTGTTTGCATCTGCCCCCGGGAGGGCGGAGGGCGGAGAAGCGCATGGGTTTTCGGCTTTGGCGCGGCCGTTAGCGAGAGGTCTCGTGAGTGTCATTTCTTGCTGGGTCGCCCTGATCCCTGGGAAGGGGTTGAAATGGTGCCTGGAGCCGGGCCCCTCTCTGCTGGGTCAGGAGCAGTGGCGTTGGGTCGGGTGCCCGGGGACGCGTGAGGCTGAGGTGGGGAATGAGCCACTCATGCAGCCCTGAGATTTCTCAGGCCTCCCACCAGCTCCGCAGCGTGGCCGGCCCCCGGGCCCACCTGCCTGTCCTCTGGTCCTTCCAGCCTCGGATGGAGTCCTTGAGAGAGGACAGATGCTCACTGCCCCCCCCCCCCCATCACTCTATGTCCTGGTTGATTTCCATTTGAGCCTTGAAGCAACTCGCCCAAGGAGAGGCCGGAGGGACGCTCTCGGGTCGCCCCTCTGGTGGTGGGTCAGGCAGCTCGTTGTTGGGACGGGAGTGGACATGGTGTGAGTGCCACGGTTCCAGCGAATTCTCTTCTCCTGGCTGCTCTGTGAGGGTTGTGTTCCAGGCTCGGTGTCAGGGCAGGTGCCTGGGAGGGGCCCCTCTTTTAAAAAAATATATAGACTTTTATTGATTTCAGAGAGGAAGGGAGAGGGAGCGATAGAAACATCAATGATGAGAGAGAATCATTGATTGGCTGCCTCCTGCATGCCCCATACTGAGGACTGAGCCCACAACCTGGGCCTGTGCCCTGACCAGGAGTCAAACCGTGACCTCCTGGTTCATAGGTCCACGTTCAACCACTGAGCACACTGGCCTGGCAAGGGGGGGGCCCTCTTGTAGGTCCAAGGATGGGTCCCCTGGCTGCAGAGTGGACAGGGACCCTGGAGTCTTGTCGCCCCCCTGAGCGGGTCCTGAGCCCCTTGTTTGCCCCCCTCCTGCGTGTCGGCGTCTGCAGGGCCGAGGCATCCGGAAGGCCAGGTCCCTCAGCCGCTCAGCGCAGGGAGACGGGAAGCGAGCGGACCTGCAATGTCTGAACGGCGCACGGTCCTTCCTGGTGTGGCCTGTGCCTGCACGGACGGAGTTGGGTGTAGTTAGAATTTGCTGCGGGTTCTTGGAGGAGCTGGGGGGCGGGGGCGGGGTGGGGACTGGCCTGGGCCAGCCACGAGGCCTGGGGACCTGACCCCTGGTTTATGGGCTTCGGGCTCAGGGTTCGTCAGAAGCAGGTTGGGGGAGCCTGACCCTGACCCTGACCCTAGGGGGGCTCCTTCTCTCCGAGAGCCCCCGTCTCCTTACCCGTGAAGGGGGACCAAACACCCCCGCGTGGGAGGCTCTGAGGACTGAGTGAAAGAACATGACAGTCCCTGGAACAGCGCGCCGTCTAAATTTAGCTTTTCACCGAGCAGATCAACAGATTCTAATTTCCCATGTTCCTCTCTCGTCAGTGTCTCTGTGCGCAGACGCTTCCGCTCCTTTATTAAAAACGCTCGCAGAAGCGTCGCTCATTTCCAGAGCGTTCCCCCACCACCCCACCCGCTGGCTGCAATGACTCTTTGTTTATCTTATCTTTCTTTCCCTCTAATCCTCACTCGAGGACATGTTTTTATTGATTTTTAGAGAGAGGAAGGGGGAGAGAGAGAGAGAAACATCGATATCGATAGTTTGCTTCCCATACTTGCCCCGACCAGGAATCGAACCCACAACCTTTTGGTGCATGGGACTATGCTCCACCCACTGAGCCGCCCGGCCAGGCCAGGCCTGGCCTGTGTCGTTAGACCCGGCGCAGGGTCCGCGCTCCTCTTCCCCTGGCACGCAGAGTGTGTTTCCCCGTTGCATCGTGTCTGCGTTATGCTTTTTTTTACCACCTTGTTCTGGCCCCTGGAGCCGGCTCACTCCCATGCTTAGCTCTGTTGCCGCCATAAAAAATGTAGGCGTGTCGCTCGCCTCCTCCCTCGGTTCCTGGGCTGAGTCCCGGGGAGTCCATGACTGCGCCCGTGCGGGGGGTTTGTGGTGGCCCTGGCAGGCCTCCTGCCTTTCCAGGAGGAGAGCAGGCCTCTGCCTGGGGCAGCGCCGGCTCCGGCCGCGGGGCCTGACCACGCTCTGCAGTGATCTCAGGGCCAGACAGGCTGCGGCGTGGCCTTCCCCTGCACCCCGGCTCCCGGGGCGGCGAGCAGCCCGTGTCCATTACTCACCAGCTTCCTCTGGTGACCGCTCTCCACTAGCTCCACTCTCTCTGGGGACCGCGGAGGAGTGTTCAGAAGTGGCAGATCGCCATTGGTCTCTGCTGGGGATGCCACCCGCCCGGCTGCTGCTTCAGGCCCCGTCGGGGGCGGCCAGCCTGGGGGGCGGAGTGGGGGCCAGTAG